CCCCCCTCCCGCTCCCTCTCATCCCTCGTCCATATCCTCCCTCCCCGCCTCTTCACAACCAGCCTCACCTCCCCCGGCTCCATCCCTTCCCCGGGCACATCGTACCACCACCTCAACACCTGCGCACCCCCATCGACCTCCCACTTCCCCTCGCTAACCTCAACCTCGACAGCCAGCGCCATCTCGCCCTCATCGCCGGGCAACGTCTCGCTCGAGCTGCTCGCTCTTGACTGTCCCCCACTCGCGCTCGCATCCTCCGCATCAGCACTTTGAACAAGCTGACTCCCAACAGCCGCATCAGCCGCATAGTGCACAGCGGGGAGATACACGACCGTCGGCTCGCTGCACGCGTCCTCGCTCGTGACGCGCACCGTCAACCGAAACTCGGACTTATCGCAGTCGAACTCGATAGAAGTGGCGGCGCCGACGGTCGCCATGGGATACGGCCGCGCAAACGCTCTCACAGCCCGTGCACCATCCGTCAAAAAGTCGAAGCTGGGCGCCGTCATCGTCCCCTTTGCCATCGGCATCGCTCCTTCCCCATTCGTCCCGGGTACCGTCGCGAGGGAGAGTTGCGACCCCGGCATCGGGCCCGCGCGCATACTCGGCGCCGCACCCCTCTGCAACAGCGCCGCGCTGCTCTTATCGCCCCCCGCGCCCGCATATACGGCCCCTCCATCTCTCAAATCGTCCGCGCTCCACAGACTCAGATCCTCCATATTCCACCCGTCGCCCCATTTATGGCTGTTATCCGGACAATACGTCCATATCGAGTAACTCAGCGCGTTACTCCCATCGCACGCGTTCAAGCTCGCGTCCAGCGCGCGCCGCTGATTCCTATAATCGCCCCGCCGCTTCCCGTCTTGATAAGCAGCGCGGTCGTCCATATCGTACGGTATGCCGATTTCGCCTATCATCGTCGGGTACCCGCCTATAATCTCCGCGTCGGATTTCAAGATGCCGAGTTGCGAGCGCAGGGAGCGGCGGATGGCGGGCTCGCCGAGGACGACGGCTTGGAGCATGTGTTTGTATTTGCCGCGGAGCAGCCCCAGGGCGTCGGCGTTGAAGAAGTTCCATTTCCTCGATACGAGCGTGAGGCCGTCGTAGTAGTGCGTGCTATACACCGCCCTCCCTTTCAGATCTCCCTCGTCGAGCTCGGGCGGCTGCGCGAACACGGGCGGAGCGATGAACAGGATCGCTTCTGGATGAGATTGGCGGATGCGCCGGGCGTAGGACTCCCAGTGCGGGCGCCAGTATGAGGATATGAAGCCCGAGTGCGCGAAGTAGGCGGGCTTGAGGACGTAGCCGGTGGCGATGTCCCAGACGCCGTGCTGCGCCCATACACACGTGCCGAGCTCCCACCCCGCATCGCGCGTCCAGCCGTACCGCGGGTGTTTACCGTCTACCTCGGTAGACGGGTCCAACCACGCCTTCATGCCCTTCGGGTCGATCGTGACCGTCCCGTCCTTGGACGGGCCGAACGTCCCGAACGTCCAGTGCTCGACCGTCTGCGCCTGGCCCATGCCTAGCCGCAGGCCCTGCGCGGGCGTCGGCGTCGGGCCTTTCTTGAGGACGCTGCCCTGCTGCGTGGGCAAGACGTTCAGATCGGGCGTCCCGACGAAGCCCTCGGCCGGCTCGTTCATGCTGTCCCACCCGATCACACACGCGTCCAACAGCTCCGGCGCCGTCTCTTTGATTCTATCCGCCAGCGCGCCCATGGCGGATATATAGTGCGACTGGAGGTAATCTTGGATGTTGACGCCGTCGATGATGCATAAGGGCGCGTAGGTTTTGCCCGCGAAGAAGAACGTGAAGAGCGTTTGGATCGCGAGGCGGCCGTAGTTCGTGCTCCATGTCATCGCGGGGATGCTCGCGGGGTCGGGCGCGTGCGCGAGCGGGTATTCAGAGTGGATGACGGCGGCTTGGGTCGCGGTGAAGTTGCGCGGGTTGAGGCCGCAGGCTTCGAGCGTCCAGTAGGGCGCGCCGGAGCCGCCGGAGAAGCGTGACCACTATGGCAGGTAGTATGAGTATTTGGATTGTGTGGGAGATGAGGATGGGAGATGGGAAGGACGTACGGCGTCTTGGTGCGGGTCCATGTATATCTTGAAGCCGTATTCGTGGCATTTTCGTAGGACGCGGATCGTGTAGTCCATAAACTCATAGTCGTACTTCCCACTATATTCCCATAAGCATTCACCACGTAGCAACCCCATAGGAAGGACACTCACGGTCCGTCATGCTCCAACGCCTCCCAAACGACCGGATACCTCAAACAATTAAACCCCCAGCCCTTCAACCTCGCCAAATGCACATCCGCACTCCCATCCTCCAGATCCAACGGCCGCCCCACAAAATCCACGCCTCTATCCTGCGCATCTTCCCAGAACCCGTCCAGAGTCTGGCTCTGCATCCCGACTGGAGCTTTAGAGGAACCGCTGAGGTTGACGCCGCGGAGTATCACCGTCCTACCAGAGGAGTCGACGAAGTGGCCGTTGAGCGTGTGGAGCATTGATGGAGGACATGGGCGGCCTGTTGCACTGGATGTTGATGGTGCGGGAGGCATACTCGGGGTATGGTGTGGTGGTGGGGAAAGTAAACGGAGGGCTTGAACTCGGACGGCGTTGTAAGTGCGGGGCCTTGACGGTATCCGTCGGGCCGTAGATGCCCCTATCTCAAGCGCTTATTACTTGTCGTACCACTTCCCTCTCCCGGACTTCCATCCATTCCAAATCCATTCTGACCATCGCATCTTGACCGTCTCTACTGACACTGCTCGGACAGCTTGCGGGTAGCTAGCCTTTCGGCGGTGCTCTGCTCAGATGCTGCGGCTGACTGACGCTCGAAGCGCAAAGATAGCCGCGCTGTCAACATGCGCCTATAAGCGCCGCGGCGACGATAGCCGGCGCCACGTGGGTTATTGTGGCACAAACTCTGGCGCGCAGAGCCAGCGCCGACGTTGAGCGCTACCGCCATGTACAGCGCCTACCTGCTACGCATACTCCATCGCTACCACGACCTGAGCCTCCTACGCGACGAAAGCCTGCTAAGCGACTCAGCGCAAGCCTGGATACATTGTCGCCGAGTCGACGCCGACCGAGTATGAGTATGATTACGATGTGCTCCCCGTCGGCCCGCGGAGCGACGCCGCAGAATCCACATTCCTGCGGCAGTCGACTACATGACTGATCTTGTAGGTTTGTGCAGCGTAGAACTCACGCGGGGACGGCTGGCCGGTGTTGACAGTCAGGCGCGCGTACAAGTCGCGATGCTTTCTCCGGGACGTGTCGGCGCGCGCACGCCGACTGTCACGGCTGAACCGCTACCGCTATTCACTACCACCATCGTAATCCCGATTAGATGCATGCTAGGGCTTACGTGAGTACTGTTTCTGGACTCTTGTCGAGCCGAAACTGAGTTTGGCGCTGGAAATCATGTTCACGAGAGCGATAGCCCAGCGCGGCGTCCTGCTCCTTCATCTCCGAAGGAGCTGTATCCTCGCTGGCGCCGCTGCTGTTTCCACTGAAGCTTACCACCTTCATCCATCTTCTCACATGCATGAATGTATACAGAACTAACACGTCATACTACCTCATATCTATGCGGGCACATAGGTGCTTATGCAGTCGCTGCAAGCTCTACCCCAGTCCCAAGGCGAGGACGACAATAGCGGACTATCTACTACTTCGGATCCGGATCGATGCACCCCGCGGCATCCCAATCCCAATCCCAATCCTATTCATTCCTACATCCGCTATCCTCTGCAACTCGCTCTACACAGTCGCGTTTTAGCTCTACTCAGTCGACAGAATCGCTCAGCCCTTCACCTGAACCGTGCGAGCAAGCAACTGTATTATCTGAGTGGCGTCATGAGGTCAAGACCCTCGGGGAGGCGTGAGCACGCCACCAGAGACACTTCTTCGTTGCCATTGTTGCTTAGGCTCAGACTCTGCTAACGCGCGTGAAAGTCATCGCGTACTGTGCGCATCAGTATCTTCCTCTACACGACCGCAACTGATCGCTGGACTCGAGAGCGCGTGCTGAGGCTTGCACTCCGCGCCGAGTGAATCTCGAGGAGAATGAGCGAATAGGTACTGCAACGATGGAACTGTACTGTAGTGCTATAGTCAATATCAGCCAATTGCCACCCCCTGAGGTTAGGGTTAGCGCGACGCGCCAAGCGGAAAAGCCCGAAGGCCGATGCGGGATTAGGAAAATTTGAGGGAAATATTGTGATGATGCATAGACCGAAGCCTTGGCCCATACTGGCATACAAACCACGCATTTCCTTTTGGATAAGATCGCCATGCGGTTGGAGGACCGCGGTCCGCAGCACGCTAAATGTGGTGGACACTGTGCCATCAAGGCAAATATGAGGAATTACGGATGCAAACCGCGCCGAGGTCGTGCAGATTGGCCCGCGCGCGGACCGAAACGCGTCTTGCTTCCGACTTCCGCGCGGCAAACCACGTCGGTGGCTAGCGTCAATCCACAGCGGGCCTGCCGACGATGGCGATCCACAGCGGGCCAGCCGTCGGCGATGGTGGACTGGAGATACATAGGGAGCGATATCCTCCCGAATCTTTTGCCAGTTATATCGCACAGTCCTGTGAGTCGCCTTGCATCCGTCACGTACTTGCGTGCACCCGACCTCACACCGATAGAGCGCATACAGACATCAAGCCTCGCCTACAGTACTCGACTCGCGATCTTGAGAGCAGATGCTCAATATATATCATTGTACAGTTACAGATGCAAACGTGCGCAAACAGTGTTCGTATTTGATCAATCAAACCTTTCTTGTACTGATTCTTCCTCTAGCTGCCTTCCCCCCATATCCGTCGCATGCGAGCCGCCATAAGACGCATAGCTTCGTCAAAGGTGCTCAAGCGCTGCATTGTCTGCAGGATCTTCACCTTTCTCTTCCCCGGGAACTTTGAGCCCACGGGACCGCGGTCCGGGTTCCCATTGCACGACCATTCGTGGCGCAGGGCGTTGTGCCCGCCGTCAAGGCGCGAGATGTACTCAGGGCAGAAGCGGCAGTATCGGCCACCTTCGACGACGCCTGGGAGCGGCCGTGTGAAGGTCTCGTCGCCCACGCGTACTTCGTGGTGGTGGTGGACATCGTAAATGTGCCGGTCGCGCCCCTTATGGTCCTGGAAAATGGTCTTCTCCGTGCAGGGAGCACCGTCGTTGTCGACCCAGCCGCATGGCCATCCTCCTCCCTTCCTCTTCAGGTCCTCCTTAACCCGGGCGCACATATAGGCGTGCTGTGCAGGCGTCAAGTGGTCGAGAAACTCCTTGAGGCCCCAGTACGAGCGTGCGAGCTTCCATCCCGCTACCTTGTTCGCGGGCGCTGCTGGGTTCGTAGCCGGTCCAGCCACTGCCTGCGCCGCGCCGTGGTGCGACGGCTGTACTCCGTCGTTGATGTTGTCCTGGATACCTCCCAGGACGATGTTGGTGATTGATGTAAAGTTCGATGCACTCGGGTCTGTGCTAGGAGCGGCGACCCGAGATGGAGGGTATGGCGCACGGGAGCGCACATGCCCGCGAGTAGTTTTGCGTGTATTGGTACGCACGACGCCTACACGAAAGTGTAAGTACGGTTGGAGACAACGACGAACAAAAGACGCACCATGCGGCATGCCCACCAACGAGTCACCCAGTGGACCTTCAGTTGGGTGGAACGAGCCTTCGTCAGGCAATAGCCCGCATATCATGGCGAATGCACGCTCATTCTCCTCTCCAATATTGACCTGTGCCGCTAATGCGCCCTGGAGTACAGCTCCCTCAACAATCGACTCCTCAAGACCGACCAGAAAGTCGCCCGTGTCAATCGCCTGACCGAAGTTAGCGGCACCACCGGGGACCTCGGCCGCGAGCTCCGCCTGGAACATTGGGCCTCTTGGCAACGCGCCAGTGCTCGGCGCAGGGACCGGCGCCTCAAGAGCAGCCAGCAAGTCGTGATACATAGCTTGCTGTGCAGGGGGGAACGGATGGGCGTCGGGAGGCGCCATTGCGGGCGGATGGTTCAAGTTGCCTGCGGTGTGGTCGTACATACCCCCGTAGTATTGGCCGGTAGCGGTGAGCTGACGGCTCTGAACCACGGCACCACTCTGGTCGTAAGTGCTCGAGTGCGTCGACTGGAAGGTATTCCCATGCTGATACTGGTGGACAGGCGCGTACTGATAACCGTTGGACAGTTGGCCGTTAGACGGCCCCGCCATCGCGGAGCTGGGGCCTGCAGCGCCTCCATGATAGCCAGAACCACCAGGCATCGCGCCCATAGGGAAAGCGTTGGCGAAGTCCGAGTAGCCTTGGATCTGGTTGTACGGTGCGCCGAGATGTTCGAAGTTGTGGTAGTCGACCACAGGACCGCCGAGCGGAGGGTGGCCGTGCGGTGGTGCAAGCGCATGCGGGGGTGTCGCGGGTATCATCAACACAGAACGTGGGTTTCTTGGGCGCTGTGGAACACTGTAGCGATGCTGAAATGGATGATCAGATCGCTGAGCTGTGCGAGGAAGTGGGACGAGGGTCACTGACCTCGTCGAGGAGAGGCGCGCCAGGCATCGAGCCACCGACGTACGCTCTGTGGTGCACCTCAGCACGGATGGGCACCGGGCTCAAGACTTGCTGAGCCTGCGGTATGGCGCTCTCAGCACGAGTCGAGTATGATGTAAACGTTGGACGTACCCGGTATGCCTCCGGCATATGGATTCTAGTTCTAGTGGTTGTTTGGTTGTGGTTGGGCTGCCGAGCGTCGGCGTATGGAGAGTACATGGTGCTCGTCAAGAGTGAGATGAAGCTCGTCTCTGGTTATGGAGCGGATGTGGATTGTATAAGTGGTGGGGATGGAAGGAAGAGCGAGAGAGCGAATTGAGTTGTGATCAGCGTTGGCGTGCGGTTTAAGAGTCCCGTGAACGCTCAGAGCCACAAAGGGCCATCACTGGCACGTGACGGTTTGTGTACCGCGGCCGCGCGACGACAATTTGTAAGCATTCCCCGCATTCTGAATCAAACGTAGAGTAGTTCTCTGTCTCCTGACCATACCCTTCATATTTGTAGAGGTAATTTCTGGGTAGGCCTCAGGGCACGGCATGAGTGCCTCGGCCGGTGACTTAGAGCACGAAACGGCCGCGTCCGCGGCTCCTATCTCGACCCCGGTATACGCTGCAGTATGGGCTTGCAGTCACCTCGGGTGGCATCATAGATTACTGAATCTACTCAACACCCGCCGCCGCGCGTGACTCCAGTTACGGTGCCAGTTCCTTTGCGACGGGCTTGACCACCACCACCGTCGCTACTGATGGCAGCGTGCCGTCTATTGTTGAGCGCGGAGACAAAAGCCTTGGACGTTGTTTCCCGATTGGTGCCGTGTGAGTCTGCCCTATCTCTGTTGTCAACCTACACTGAACCTAACCCAGCGATATACCGTATTCCCTGCCGTCAGAGACGAGGCGGTCCAATCCCCTACTGCTCGACTCGATCTCTATGATCACACCTCTCATCGAAAAACCTGTATTTTGTGCGACAACATGTCAGCCACCCGCTCTGAAGTCAACCATGGCCTCGCCTCCCCTCCGCGGAACGCTGACATGGGAAGATTTGGACGCGTCAGCTGCCTCTACCAGACACTCGCATCGTCCACCGACGCCGCCGCGGCGCGCGGAAAGCCAACATGGGCCATTTCTCAAAGCTTCGTTGGGATCTTTGAGACTCTATGCGCATATACACCCTGTCGATTTCACACTTGGTTGTGCGCCCGATAATGACCTCGTACTTTCCGGCCCATTCTCCAAATATACCAGTGCGCCCATTCTTCTTTCGAGCATTGGATCGAGCTGATGCATGCTCATAGGCCGGAAACACTGCGTACTCAGATGGGATGGGAGCCACTTGACAATCACAGACCTGCAGACGGTGAATGGTACATGGGTGCGTCCAGTTGCGCAGATATAGTCCTTCACCATAAACTTACCATAGCCTCCAGGTGAATCTGATCCGACTCGGTGCCCAGGAGGCCCGCATTCTCGAAGACGGAGACGTGATACACATAACGTCCGCTGCTTTTGGTTCGCGCACGCGAGAAGCCTGCGAGTCGAACCTCTCTTTCACGTACAATGAACACCCGCTGTTTGATGTATTCGACGTATACTCTCAGGCGGGTGGTGTGGCTGGGAGAGCTTTGTCGCATACGTGAGATGATTGAAGACTCGCGAGGCTCCAGGTAAGCGTTCTCTGATACACAACCCTGGGAAACTATATTAACGAGCTCCATAGGCACTGTAGTACTAGTGCACCGACGCGCACCGATGGGAGCGCGCAGTCTTATTGGAGTGTCCTTGACAGGCCCGGCAGGCCCGGATGAAATCAAGTGGTGGTCCAACTGCTATCATCTGCCTGTGGGACTTCACCGCGACTGTCCTCTGATATCAGCTCCTCCTTACGGCTGCCTACCATCTTTACCGTGGGCCGATCGTCGCGAACGTTATGCAAAATACCTTGCAGAGACGGGTCGTCCTGACTTCGGGCCTGATCACTCGAGGAACCTTCTCCATCCTCGTCAGAATGCCGCTTTGCGAGCCACCCAGTCCGAGGCTGATTCTGTACATCACCCCATTACATCGGGCGATCAGAGTAGCGGGACGGCTTATCGCGTGTCGAAGCGGTCGTGCGAGGAGGAGGATGACGCGGAAGAGCGGCGCGTCAAGTGCGCGAAGGTCGATCCCCGACGCTCGCGCGCTTATCTTGATGCCTCTCCCGCGTACGGAGACTTCGAGACACCCAATACGTCTCATGCTACACCCTCACGGGACTCGACATCCAGGGTTGACCCAACTGTGCGTGACGTGGGACGCCTTGAAACGCTGGCGGAGGTCTCTTCGGTACCCGCAAGGCGGGACGGAGCCTTGTTCATCGGACGCCCACCTGGCCGAAAGATGCGAAGTTCCATCGCAGGAGAAGAAATCAAACGTACCTACGATTGATCGCAAACGGAAACGCCAGGCCGACGACGATGATGCGGATGAACGCGCGTCGAAGCGGGTATCTGCCTCTGCGTGCCGCGAATCTCCATCTCCGGACGCGAGAGGCCACGATGCGTCTAAGTCATCTAGCATCTGGGGCCACTACTTCAACCTACTCGCGATGGCTTGGAGGGGCCGCCCGCGGTGATCGCAATTGACGGCTTGCCCCTCACATCCGGCATATGTGCAGGCGTGATCCTCATCGTCCGATTGGAGAGCCGATCTCATCATTACAAACATTCACATCCTGACCCCCTTTCATCCACCTTTCCCACCACGAACTAATTTCACCGTCGAATTCGCCTTTCTGATCACCGCTTCACTCGCATGTATAATAGCATGTTCGCTTTTCCTAGTTCATATGTACACGCGCTTCATTGTGTATGCCATCGCGAACAGACTCGACAATTCGATATCGCATACATCACGCCGGCGCCGTGCTCATGGAGGAACGAACAAAGAAGTCCTTGTACTTCACGACATCAACACGTATCGCTACCCGGAGAGTGTGGGTACTGCACATACCCTGGAAACAAGGTCATGAGAGAGAGAGCGTTAGTCTGCGCCTTTGCACGCCACTCCAGTGCAGATATTCTGGTGAGTGGGCGTGGCTGGCGCGGGTTCGGCTACGGCGCCGGCGATGCTGACGAAGGCGCTGAGTGCAACAACGGCAAGCTTGATGTTGAAGAGCATAGTAGTGAGAGTGGAGCTGAGTGGGCCTGAGGTTGAAGCGGATGGTGTCGCGCCGGTCTTAGGATAGACCTTACGAGAATGGCCTTTATAGCATGGCGCGGTCATATCGGAATTCGCTGGATCGAACTGCGAGGCGGCTCGACGCCAGGCGATGTTCTGGATGACTGTACCAGCTGAGGCACCGTATTCGCTGCAGACACCCTGCAAAGCGGATGCACTGTTGAAAGCCGCGGGATCCATCAGTCCAACATGCTATATGCGCACGCTGTTCCCTGTGCAACACAGAACCATCAGCCGAACGAGTCAATGGAAAGCAAGTGGGTACGGCAAAACGAGTGGTTTGTATGCGCTGACGGTTGGAATACACCGCATACCGTGGATACATACTAGAGTACAGAGTGATTACTTGTCATTCACAGTACATGTCGCGGATATCGGCGTTCCGTCGGCGCGCTAGGAGGACCAATCGCAAGCCCTATGTAGTCATCAAAAGCTCAACAGAGCGCGCGTGGCTGACGGCGGCATTGTGGACTCGGAGGGGATGAGCTTCGAGTGAAGAACATCTTTCAAACTACTCAAGAGGACCGCATTGGGTGATTAAGACGATACGGAGTTTGGCGGTTCATGGCGGTAGGAAGCAAGGCTAGGATTCTAACTTGAAGTCTAGGTGAGCGCGTGAGAACGGGCTCGACGCGTGTCAGGGCCGTAGTACCGAGAACAGTGCACCGGTACCCGTTCTCTGCCATGACTGAGAGGTTCTGAGGCCTGAGGGCCCGTAGAAGTAGATGCGATGGAAACGCGATGGACTTGACCTGCGGGAGAACTTCGGAATATCCCGTCTGGTATCCCAGGAGTCGGCGACAACGACGCGCGCGTCGTTACAACGTCAATCCAAACGTTCACCAGATGACACTGCGCGTCGGCAGCGATATTTGTACAATTCTGGATGGCACACACTAAGCATACCTTCTCTATTTTTATGGCACTCTCCTGGGAGGCTCTCATGCAGATGCATCAGACCGGGCGCTGCCTCGACCGTCTATTGTGGGGTAGCGTCAGGACGATGTGGAAGACAAAAGACCTTGTTCTTCAATTGGCATCGGAGTGGTACTGCATCTGCTTTGATCTCACCATGAGCCCGGATCCAGCTCCCTTCCTTGTTGCGCTCGACTCACCACCGTCGAGTAACCCGCTTTACTGCTCCAAACTACCTTCAAGCCGTCAGCACAAACTCCGTAATACCGATCGACCAAGACGCCGGACATGGAAGCACCGCAATCTCCCTTCCTCATGGCTTCTTTGGGCACGCTGCGATTCCCTGCGCATATGCACCCTCTAGAGCTCACCATCGGCGGTGCGCCCGAGTGCGACCTTGTACTCTCCGGACCATTCTCCAAGTTTATCAGTGCGTCAGGCTCCCGTTTAACCCGTGCGCTTGGCTGATGTCCATCAATAGGCAGGAAGCACTGCGTGCTGAGATGGGACGGGAGTCGCTTGACGATTATGGACCTGCAAACCGTGAACGGGACATGGGTGCGTAGCCACGCCGATCGCAACATCTTTTACTCAGAGCTCATCTTTGTCTCTTTGTCTCCTCTAGGTCAATCTGATACGTCTACATGATGGAGAGACTCGCGTTCTGAAGGACAAGGACGTAGTCCATCTGACCTTTGCTGCGTTCGGCTTGCACTCGCGAAACGCGTGCGAGTCAATACTTGCCCTTACATATCGCGAGCATACGTTCTCTGACATCTCTGCAACATTGTCTTCCGGGAGTTGCGTGGTCAGGAAGGCTATGGATGAGTTGTCTCGTATACGTGAAACCGTCAAGAACACCCGACATCCTAGGTAACCTCCAACAGCACTAGATCCGGCTGTGGCTGACTCTCTTGGTAGGTCCAACAACGATGAAGAAGCGAACACAACTTCCGCTGGAGAGAGTGTGCGTACATATCGAGGCGTCCTCGACAGACTCGGTCGAGTCCGAACGCCCGTCCTGCCGCCTCCACAACCTCTGGATCTCGATCGGGAAGATATGCGGATGCAGATGCGGAACGGTGGCTGGGGTCGAAAGTCAACTTCGGAAAAGGTGGTATTGCGGCGCGACGATCCCAATATAATCTGGGGTACAAGTTGCGTCAGTATGTACGCCGGCCATGGACTTCCCGACGAAATCAAGAAATGGTCTAACTATCACCATCTACCCGTTGGACTTCATGACGACTGGCCTTTGGTATCGCCAACACCTTACGGCTGTCGATCCTCTTTGCCGTGGCCCAAACGTCGAGAACGTTACGTGGGATATCTCGCAGAGACGGGTCGTCCTGATTTCGCGCCTGATCACTCGGGAAGTGTGCTCTGGGCGAGCAGATACGCCCCTTTAGCCGCTGAGTCAAACCAGGATCCCACACCTCGTGCTACATCATCAACAATAGTCGATCAGCAGTCCACCACGGCACGTCCTAACCAGACAAACACCGAATCGCCCTCCCGTGGCATCAAACGCCGGTTCGAAAGCGATGACCGCGATGTTGACGGACGCCACATCAAGTGCGCGCGGGGCGATCCTCCGCCTCTCGACTGGCATCTGATGCCCCTCGCGTGGAGGCTCAGTCCGTCTCGTCTTCCGCCTGTGTGGAGGTCGCGGGCTTCCCGGTCCATATTGCCCGACAGACCAAGAGGTCACCTTTTCCTTCCGCCGCCCAAACGAGAAAGCGCACTCTCGTGGACTGTGGCCACCCCACCGTCCACGCAACGCGAGTACCAGCACCGGGAAGCTGGCATTGAGGCGCCCGGTCCGTCCCACAGCTTGCCTTCACGGACTTCGTCGGCTTCACCATCAGTATCGCGCCTCGATTCAGGTGTTCAACCTTTCCCTCTATCACCTGCGCTGCAACGCCCATCCTCATGGAGGGTGGGTCCCCGGAAACGCTACCAGAATCAGGAGGTTGATGCTGAGGACGCTGGGCGGCACGGCGCGTTGGAAGAGGTTGACAATCCAATGGAGTGGGAGCGCACTGCCATGGATTTGCCTCAACAGCCGACCGTTCGCGCATCGAGACGACACTTCGAAAGACCTCGTTTGGATTCCCCACCTCGCACTCAGGCTAGAAGAACACTACACCGAATGTATCGTCAACGCCGGACTAATACTGATGAGGGAGAAGACGACGAAGATTCAGAGCCCGCAGTGCAAGATGAGAGGATGGGCGAGATAGTCAGTGAGGAGAGGAACGAGGGGGGGACGGTGCTGGGTAGGGTCTTTCGATGGTTTGGGACGTTTGCGTGGGAATGGGAGGGATGAGGGTCGGCGTACACACTGCAATGCAGTGACTGGGCGCCCCAAACAGTAATTAGAGGTCATATAGTTATCCGAACCAGATCAATCTCTATGCTTCCAGTTCGTATAAACTCTGTATCATTGACTTATGAGACCATGTATCCTCGATTCTAGGTATACATACGTCATACGCTTCGTAGTTGGGCCTGCCAAAAGTTCATAGCAGAGTGCATACAGGGAAGGCTTGCTTGCAATGGAGCCGGAAGTCATGGAATCCATACATTCATAGCTGCTTCAACATGATCACATATACCGCGAACAGACTGGCGACGGTACAGACGCCCCCACACGGTCCCCCCACGCACAAATCCGAGGCGCCGTGACATTGCCCGGAAGGATATAAAGCTCTGCGCTACCGTAGAACCATCAGTACGCGCAATTCACGCGATGATTGTGTACATACATACCACAGTGTTCAAGTTGCAGCCCGTACAGCAAGGGAGATTCAATCCCTCCCAAGGCTCGGCAATCGGGTATTCGCCGGCACAGGCGTAGGCAAAGCGGAAGCTAAGCCCACGACGGTCGCAAGAGCGAGAAGAGCGAGCTTGAGATTGAACTGCATGGCAGACTGTCACGGTGCTGGATGGCACGGCGGGTGGGTAGAAGGGCGATGGTGAGCACTGAGTCTGTCTGGACTCAATAGAAGGGGCTTATATAGCAAAGCCACCTCCGAGTATATCTATCCCTGCTGTCCTGTCAATCAAGAAGTGTGAACCCTGCCGTGCTGAAGAAGCGGTACTACAGCACTCGAGCGGCCCTGGATGATGGAGGAGAAGTTTACGGGTTATACGGGCACAGATTGCTGTAGGGCGTACAGAGTAGTACCCCCAGGAGGTAACATACAGACACGCACGCCTCGAATGCAGTATGAGTCCCAGACTACTGGACTATTCGAGCGGGAGGTACTACATCCCAAGCGGGTGTCGCGGCGGGTCGTGGCGGCGAAACCCCGGCGGCACAGAACCGATAGGGCACATGCCATTGAAAACGAGCTATAAAGGCCACTACGAGCCTATATATCTAAAAGGAAGGGGACCCGACTATTGAAGGACTTAAAGTATGACGGGTAGAAAGTTGAGTCGCGGACGCTGGGTGCATGGGAGAACGCGTGTCGAAGTCAGGACACGACCAAACTGGCTCGCTCCCATCGATGCAGAGGATATGAAATGGCTTCAACATAGGCATGACGCGAAGTTCACTCGCTCGTGGCTGTTTGGTGGTGGTAGAGAGTCAAGCTCCGAATCCGAGCGCCGAGGCGCGTGAGAACGGACTTGACGCGTGTCAGGGGCTTTCGGCAATGTCGTCGGCATCGGTCTAGTGACATCGACCAACGATGAACAGCTATCGAGACTTACTGTATGTACTCTCACACTCAAGCGCGACGTTATGGCTGTCTCGCTACTACTCGCAGCGAGCGTTTGCGGCATTCGGAAGGCTCCGTGGAATAGGCGACTGCTCCAATACTAACCATCTCGAAGAACACCCTATCAATAGCTCCGTGACATCTGCAAGCAGCCCCCTCGGGCACAACATGCGTCTACATGACATTCAATCTCGTATCCACTACCAGAGTGATCCATTTTCAACCCGGTTCCTCAGCAGTTCTCCACGACTCGGATTTCCGGCACCGGCACCATGTAGCCCTGGCACATATCCGGTACCGGTCGCTTCAGCAAGTAAGAACTCTACAGCACATGGTCAACGTCGACATAATCTCAGAGACTAGACGCCGCGTATGCACAACACTCACCAGTTCAAATTGCAGAGGTTCGGAGGACACTGCTGGTCCTCTTTCGGTACGGGCGCCGGTGCCGCCGCGGCGAGAGCAGCAAAAGCAATGATGGAGGTAAGGAGAGTGAGTTTCAGGTTGGAGAGGAGATGCATGGTGGTGGTAGGGCGCGCTGGGTGTGGATGGGTTGCGGGCGTGGTAGAATCAGAGTGAGACGGGCACGGCGGTCCTGTGTCATGCTCTCCGGAATGTACGAGCTTATATACTCATACTGAGTTCACCTGTCCAAGTGTCATCAGCGCACAACCGTCGAGGATGTAAGGATGAACGACAGACCGAGCGAATCCGCCGAATGGTCGTGGCGCTATGAGTCCGGAAGTTGGCTCCGACGTGCAGAACAAGCCTGGGAGGCGAAAAAGCAGATGGTCAGGCCTTACCGTTGTAGGATAGCTGTCGCAGACTGCGGGTATCGGCGTCCCGCGAGGGACAATGTGAGGTTAAGGTGACCGTGATGGAAAATAGACGTGTTCTTTCCGAGGATCGAAGGCCAGAGAAATAGGCAAACACGTACAACAGAAATTGGATTGCAGATGTGTGGAGGTGCACCAACATATGATACAAACCATGATATCGAGAATATTCAAAGATCCCAATGAAAACGAATCCCTACATCCCCTCATCTCCACCGTCCTCCTCATCCAAGCCAACTCGCTCAGCGACCCACTCCATCGCCAACCGCATCATCGCACCCTGCTCATACACTCCCTCGGCCTCTCTCAGCCGCTCCAGTTCTCCGTCTCGCATCCAAGCGCGTATCTCAGTTTGTTCGGGTGTGTCTGGCACTTTCAGCCGGCCAGGCGACGAACTCGGGAACTGAGACTGCGACGAAAACGGCAGCGATGCCTTGGCCTGGGACGACCGTAAAGTTTGCGACGACATCTGAGGCTGAGACGATGGAGGCAACTGCGAGCTCTTCGGCCACGCCTGGCTCGGCGGGTCTTCGAAGTGCGGGACCTTGAACGGGTCTTCGTCGCCGAAGTCTTGGTACTCCTCTTCTGCCATCGATCGAGACGATGCGGGTCGGAGTCTCATCATCTGCATGGGTATGGGTGGGGCGGGAAGTGTATCGTCCTGCGGAATGGGTTGACGCGTAGAACTCGATGGACTCGTTCGACGCGCAGGACCGGACGCCTGCGCGCGATGTATGTCACGATAAGGCGACTTCGCAGGGCTGGACGTGAGCCGCTCAAGAGCCTCGTCGTGCCGCCCGCTGGTGCTCAGGCGGACGTAGGTCCGGGCTTTGGTGTGCGGGGGCGGGCTGTAGGGCGCGCGGGAGGGCGAGAGGGGCGTGTAGTGCAGTTTGCTTAGGCGGGGTTTGCGTCGGCGGGGTGGGGAGGTGGTGCCGGCAGGGGTCGGTTGAGCTGAGCTGGTGTGGCGGGGATTGGAGGCGGGGTGGGGTCTGGTGTTGTCCTCGGCGGATTCGTAGGCCTGTTCGTCCTCTTCTGCGTCCTCCTCCGCGTCGTCTAGCACGAGCTCCTCTTCTGAACCACCCCCATTTGCGCTGTCCTCCTCCATCTCCATCTCCACATCAGCCTCGACCTCTTCAGCGTCACCCTCGCCCTCCCCTTCCCCGTCTTCCCCGTCGCTCCCGTCTTCTTCCTCCGCCTCCGCCTCCGCCTCCTCCTCCTCCCCACCAACAACCAACCCCAAACTCCTCCTAAAAGCCCTCCCCGCCCCAACCCTCATCTTCCTCAACGCCTCATCCGCCATCCCCAGATCTCCCTTCACAGCCTCGATAACATTCTTGACCACATCCTTATTGAATCCATATCGATCCACGAGCCCCGGTATAGCCTGTCTGAGGCCGAGCTTGACTGAGATGAGCAGGTGGGGTGGGACGTCGGGCAGGTCGAGGTCGTCTGAGTCGATGTCGAGTTGGCGTTGTCGGCGGAGCGCGGAGAGATAGGTCTGCGAGGCGGGCTCGGCAATAGACTTGCGGCGCTTGGACGGGAGAGACTTGCGAGCTCCGACCGGCGCTGCACGCGTTGCCCTGCCAAAGCTCGCGAACGTCTCGCGGCGCTTCTTCATATCGGCGGCAGGCGCGCGCACGTCACGGTCTGACGTAGCTAGGCGCCTGTTGATCTTTTGCTGGGGTGCGGCGGACGGTACGTCGGCGTCCTCTTCGTGCTCGTCCTCATCGGAGCGACTGGCACGACGGCGTGCGTGTTCCGAAGCGTGATGCGCGGGCGCGGGGCGGGCGCGCTTGTTCGCTTCGACCGAGCGCGCGGCTGGCGGCGGAGGCACGCCTTGCTCGTCTTCGTCCGCGGCGACGGCAGTGCGAGGCGCAGAGGGGCGCGCGCGTTTGGTTGCTTTGTCAGAGCGCGCGGCTGGCGGTGGAGTGGCGTCTTCCTCATCTTCCTCTACGCGAGGGGCGGCAGGCGCGTGCCGTCCAGCATGGCGCAATCCGCCTGCCGTGGGGCGATTCGCGTCGTTCACAATACGTTCATCGGCAGCATGAGTAGCGGCGGGAGTGACGCGCGCGCGACGGCGCTTATCCTGATGGGGGACGATATCCGGAAGGTGGATAGAGCGCGCGGGCGGCGGGGGAATGAGGTCCTGTTCGTCTTCGCCTGCGCGAGGCACAGAGAGGCGCGCGCGTTTAGTCGCTTTAACAGAGCGCGCGGCGGGCGGTGGAGTGGCGTCTTGCTCGTCTTCCTCTAGGTGAGGGGCGGCAGGCGCGTGCTGTCCAGCATGGCGCGATCTTGGCGCTATTGGGTAACTTTGCTCGTCGGGGGCAACACGGGCAGCAGCATCAGCGGCGGGCGCGTGACGGCGTTCATCTTGACGGGAGACTACGACTGGGAGTTGGTCGCTTGATGAGTGAGCGGGTGCACTGGGAGCGTCGACCACGCGAGGAGTGTCGGATCGCTCGCGGGGCGGGGACACGACCGGCGTAGCCGCGCGACGTAGAGGCGGAGACGCGGTGCGTTCACGATAGGCGGCCCAGAACCCTCCCGCCATACTTGGCGACAGACGCACGGCATCGGGGAGCTTGACCCTCGACGAAGACGCGACAGCATTCACCTGCGGCCTCCGCACAACGGCAGGCGCGGGGCGTGGTACAGGCGAGCTGAGCTCGACATTATCCATATCCGTATTCGTCGGGTACCGCCTGTCGTCCGACTGCACGACGTCGACCTTCTTCGTCCTCGGCGGCGGCCACGCCCTGTCCCGGCTCCCGCTCCTCATATCGCCCTCCTCGACGCCCGTGCTCCTCGTCCCGCCCGCGCTTATCCGTCTCCGCCCATTAGACGCCGTCGTGGCGCGTCTGAACGGGCTCTCCTCGTATTGTCTTGGGTATTTCCTTTTCTTCGGTGTAGGATCGTCGCTGTCCGAGTCGGGGCGTGGTGTGGGTGTGGGCCGAGGGCGCTGGGCGAAGGGCGGGGAGAGGTCGCGCGGGGTTTGCGTGTGACTCTGCGGGGAGGGAGAGGCGGAGGAGTGTGGGGAGGCGATCGAGTTTGTGTGGGGCGGTGTGGGCGGGCCGCGGGATGGGGCCGGGGCTTGGGAGTGCATGGTTAGGTCCAGTAGGCTGTATCACATATATCAGTACAAGAAATAGAAGAGTATGGATGAAGTGAGGTGTACCTGAGCGGCTCGTCCCTCCTATCGCTCCTCACGTCCACCGGCCGATCCCACGTATCCCGGCTCGTATCCAACACCTCTCCCTCTCCCTCCCCATCCCCATCTCCCTCCCCATCATGATCCAACTTCACCCTCTTCGCACCCTGACTAGCCGTCTCACCCGCCCTCGTCCGCTTCCTATTCGCATCCATAGGCCTTAGCTCCGGATTTAACAACCGCTGCGGCGCCGACGCGTCGACATGCAGTTCGTGCTGAAAGCGGCTGATGAGCGCGTTGAAGTATTCTTCTCTTTTCCTGTAGCGGGTTTGCCAGGCTTGCCAGGAGTGAGCGGAGGCCCAGGGTCCGAGCTCGGCAGCCTACGCATCAGTATTAGCTTATGAGGAGGAGTGTGAGGAATGAGGCGAGCGTACGTGTCGCTCGATCTGCTCGTATATAGCCCTCCCAGACCGGCCCGCCTTCGCGGGGTTGTGCACGGCGAGGTACCGCGCGAGCGCGCGGTCGTGTTCGATTGTAAACTCGTTCCGTATGCCTGTTGTTTTTGGCATAGTGAGAGCCCGCGGTTGAAGCGCAGGAGGGACACGGTGGTGAGGGTGCTGAAGACAAGACGCGAGCGCCGAACGCCGCGAGGCACGGGGTGGGAGCTGTGGTTGAGCGCCGCCACGATCAGCTGATCGTGCGTTTGGATGGGCCGATGGGGCCGTGTTGGGGTTTGTCTTCGACTGCCACGACGCGTAACGCGTAATGAGCAGCAAATTCATGTATCCTCCCCCCGTATTCTGAAGCTTGAACACAACATCGGGACTGCGCGACCCTTCCACCCGTTTTACCCATGGAATCTTGAATGCTTCGCAGTTCAGCTCAGCTAGCACTTGAAGCTTGACCGTCCAAAGTCAACACAACCCGTTCCTCGTTCAATGCTTCGGTATAGTTGTCAATCTCTATACATTCACCGCTCTCGCCGAGCGCGCCAGTCGGTACTTCTCCGCTCGACTCTAACAATCGCCGTCGTGTGCCGGCCGCTCCTTCAGCAACCAGGCGACCGGCGCTATCATGATTCATCTGGACCAATACACTTGTCGTGCTTCTATACTCAGACGAATGTACATCATGAGCGCCCGTAGGTGAGTGTCTTCCTACAGACCCTGAGTCCGACTCATGTGCTGATACGACATCGATTTTCAGGCGCGTCGACCGTGAACCTCCAGAAGAAGCACCGCGACGCCCGCCTCCGCGAAACCACTACAACTGTCCTGAACGCTTGCACCATGTGTGGTCGACTCGATTAAAGGCCTACAGTTCGTTCGGCGATCGACGACCGGCGTTCAACCCGTATAACCCGTACGCCTCTATCGCACCTTCTCTACTCAGATTAAAGCTCGGTTCAAGATCGGCTTGCTGGTGCAGACGGGAGATAGACTCGTCGTACATACTCTATAAAGGGCTTCTATGACGACGTACGGTCTGCTCGAGGCAGCATCTTCCGCCGCTCTATCCTGCCAACCCACCACCAATTACCCTCGGCCATCTGAGATGCAGCTCAACCTAAACCCGAACGTACTATCTCTTCTTCTCGCCCTCTCCGCCGCGACCGTCGCGATCGCGACGCCAACGCCAATGTTGAAGACCCCGACTACGAATTACGGCTGTACCGGGCCCGAACAGGCTGCATGGTGCTGCATCCTTCAAGAAAGTTGCGATTGGTGACGGTATGTGGGTTTTCGTACTATCGTATGCTGCACTGTGGCGCGCGCGCTGATCTGGTTGGATTCAGGAATAGTGCGTTCAAGATGGCGCTGGGCGCGTGTCTGAGTCGTCGGCTTTTACCATGGACTCTCGTTTGTGGCTGTTGTGTGTTAGTGTGCGCGAGGGAGGCTATGCATATGCACGAGTGAGGGTGTTTTTACAGGTCTGAGAGTGCATCCGGATGAGTCTTGACCTTCAGTACCAGTCATTTCACAAATTTAATGCCGTGTACCATGAGATCAGTCCTCCGCACGACTGAGTCGAAAGCTCTAGCTCGACGCCGTGCACTCGTGCGCCAGATTGATGCATATACCGAGCGAGTTGAGTGAGAAGTCAAGCTTCTTTCGGATGCAACGCGCGACCACGATCAGCTGACCGCGCGGGATCCGATGTTGATCGGTCTGCACACATGTTGTCTCGAACCGCCACGACGGCCGTACGCTGGGATTCAGAGCCGGCTTACGAATGCCACTATGCGCACATTCTACATCTGAGCGTGATGATAGCGCTGCGCTGGCGTACGAACGACTCGCCACGACGCCCGACGCCCGGATCCCTGCACGCATCTCACTTATCTCCATGGCAGTATCCTGACCTTTACAGTCCAAGCGAGCCCCGTGCAACCCATCTACCACATATGACTCAGTACAAGCGCGCTCCGTATAACCCGTACCCTGACCGACCGACCGCGCAATTAAGGGATCCGGAGTCGCGAATCGCTATATAACGAACCGCTCAACACATTCTCTACAAACTATACCATGCAACTCAACATCAACCTGCTCACTCTTCTCGGCCTCGTCGCCGTCGTCGTTGCGGCGCCAACGCCGAACCCGGGTGGACCGGTCTGCATCCCTCCGGCCGACTCGACGCTGGAGCCGGCATGCTGAGTGTCATGGAAAGGCCCTCATGTTGGACTATTGTGATAGGTACGTGCGTGCTACGCCTGTGCGAACTCTGCTATGGTGCTGAAGCCACGAGTTTAGCCTAGGACCAATCGTCGCGTGTGGGCGGATACGGTCCGGGGGTTCACGCGGGACGTAGAGCAATGCTCTCTTTTGACTTATCCATCCCTGCAATATTATTCGATTTTGCTTTCTGCTCCACGTCTAGGTCTCGAGGCTGGCATGAAGATGAAAGTATGTCACCATTGATTGGTATGATGGCCGAGACCTTCCCAGGCTGTCGGTTCTCTCTCCATTCCTGGCCCGCCTACGGGACGCCGATACCCGCGAAATGCACTGTCTTTGACAGGTATTCTATCGATTGAGCGCGTGCTCTGGATATGCAGTGCATATCATTGATTAGCGCACACAGTGCTTGTCTTCCGCTGCTCCAATATGGTCGCTCTGTTCCTTTCGTTGGCATGTTTGGCTGACTGTGTCCATGCCATGCAGGGGGTACCGCGTGCATCGAGCGTATCCGACTGATGAACCGCGCGGCTCTCCAAAGCTCACGCGCTTGTACAGTGCATATGTGGCAAGTACGCTTCCCGTATATACGCCCACCCGAAACCTTGCAAGTCATCGGGCGCTTTGTAGGTATCCCGGCGATTCTGAAGTGACCGCGCTTTACTATATAGCCGTTCATTCGAAGCGTGCTAGAAGTCCAGCATCGCACCCACCCCTCCCGAACAAGACCACCTTCACTATGCAGTTCAATATCAAGCTTGCCATCGTTGCTCTCAGCATCTTTGTCGGCACCGCCGTGGCCGCGCCCGCACCCTACTACTGCCCCTACCCGGCGTGCAAGGTTGATTGAACGCCCGCTACCGCGATTGAAATGGTATGTCCATACCTTCGCCTCCGGATGGCGGCGCGTGCTGATAATGTGAAATTACCAGGACCTCCAGTCGTGTCCATCCATAGTCTTGGCACGACGTGCTCAATTCTCAATTGTCGAATCATTTTGTTGTTTATGTAACTGTATTGATGACATTGTTTGTCTGTCGACGATGCCTGCTCACCGCGGGCCTGCATGAACGCGCTTGCAAGATTAATCTTGACCACGTCGACCGGAATCCGAGTCTTGGCCGGCGGAAAACCTCATTCCAATCGTATCTATTCGCGCTCGTTGACAATTGACACGGTGCACCTTTGCCTACTATATGGGCGACAGCATAAGACCTAGCGCAGCTGCGTCCCTGTGGGAGAGAGCAAGCCCAACTTGAAGCTTCCCATCGTCGCGATGATCTGCACCTATCCCATCTTTGGAGGTTGACATCGATGGTGCATGATTAGTGTAGTTTACGACGTTCCTTTGGATTGCGTAGCGATGCAATCAGGTCTAGCTGTAATATAAGATGCGCTATTGAATGGAATAATCGCAATATGGGTCCATGAAGTCGAAGAATGATTATTCCCTGCGAACGATGCTAGCGGCCCTCGTGCCAGGCGACGGGAAGATCTCATGGGCGTTCTGCGCCTCCTGTACCTTCCTTGCAATCGTCCCTTCCAGAGGATACACCTCTTCCGACGTGGTACTATAGTTACGCAGAAGAGGTGCTGAGCGTCTAGACGCGCCGCGAACGGGTGTTCGGGCCGCCATTGGCAGGGGGAAAGACGGCCTTGGGATTGACTGACGCTGAGGAGATCCTAGCGCTGTCAGCAAGAGCGCACGATAGCATGAATGGGATGGTACATACTACGATCTGATAGACTGGACAGCCTTGGGTATCGGGGAGATGACCGGCGCGAATGATTATCTGGCGCGAATATTCGTTTCAGCACTCGGCGGTATATGCAGAAGACCCAACGAGATGAGTACATACCTAAGAGCTTCAATCGGGCTTCGATGTCTGAGTCCTCATCGTCCGATGCCGAGACTACAGGTGCGCGAGTGCCTTCACATTAGAGGTCAGAAAGGGACAGAAGACATAAGTCATTATGACTGCTCTCGGACGTACCTCGCGAACTAGCAGTGCTGCGCCTCTGAGACCCTTTGAGCTTGTTGATGGTTTGCGCATCGTCAGGACTGGGAATACCACGACGCGAGGCCTGATCCGATCGTCGAAGAACAGGCGGCGTGTCTCGGTGTGTTACCCGGCTTTGAGTTTCCGCAGCGGCTTCATCGTCGTCGAGCTGATCCTCTTCTTCCGCGTATTCGTCACCTCCACCAGTCACAGCCAGGTCGTCGTAGTCCTCATCTTGAGTATCCTTGTAGGGAGAGTTGATGACGGCCGGAAGCCAGTCGTAATTTCCTTCCCCGACTTCCATTAGATCCTGCGATACCTCGGCGTCGTCTTCGTCAGAGCTTCCGAGGTCCCTCTCATCACGCGGCGAGGACAGTGGGCGAGCATGACGGGATTGTTCAACACTGGGTGCCTCCTCCGACGGGCGACCGGCGCGTTGCGAGGCTTGGGAAGACGTGCGCCGCGGCAAGGGAGGTGGAGGCTCGAAGACCTCCGGCTGCTCAGGTGCGGTCCTGAACTCCTCGTTCGCGAGATCTTCTTCACTTCGCTGAGAAGGCCCCTCGCGACGTCTTGCGGGGGAGTTGACAAGCGTAGCTTGCGACGCACCCAGACCCTCCGCAGGCAGCGATGGCTGGCGCTTGGGCGAACGCATACGGGATCGTTGAAGTTCGACAACAACTTTCTTCTTTGACTTTGGCTTGGGTTTGGGACGTTGAGAAGGGCCGGGTTCAGGACCAAAGCTGCGAAACTTCTTCAGCTGGCCGTCTTTCACATATATGAAGGGGATGCTCACTCGTCCAACATGATTGGGTTCTGCGCATCCGAACCAGCAACTGACACAGCACGACTACCGGCCTTCTGCGCTGGCGCAGCCTCCACTTGAGTCTCCTGAGGTTCGCGAATCAGAACCTTGTGTGAGAGATAGAGAATAACGGACTACCTGACGCCGGCGTTTACCACGGTGCCCTTGTTCTCCTTCCGTGGAGCGACGCCGCTTTGCCGGGGTAATTGGTTCGAGTTCGATTTCCTCCTGATACTCTTGAGCATAATCATCGCCATAAGCGCCCGGCGAGATGTGGCGCATGTCCAACAGGCCGCCTTCTGCATCCTCCTCCGCATCCTCTTCGCTCTCCTCAGCCTCATGTTGAATGTCGATGATTACCGGCCCCTTCCGAGGAACTATACCAGAGCGCTGACGAGGGTCCATGCCAAAACGGTCTTCACGAGGAGGGGTTGCCTTGACCCTCTCCGCGATAATCGGATCAAGCCGTTGCCTATGAGTCTTGTAGTGCGATCTCCAAGCCTCCGCCGTATGACGGAGGGCGCCGGGCCAGTCGGGATGCTAATACGGGCAATCCATTAGTGCTCAGCAGGTTACTCCGCCCATAGACAACATACAGCGGCCATCATCGAATTATAAACAACTAAGCCTTGACGACCACCGTCTTCTGGGTTGGGACAAAACTGGGCGATGAATTTGCATAAGAGTTCTTCGTCCGCGTAAGTGAAGTTTGTCCTGGACACATAAGGGTTATTATTCGACTGAACCATGAGCCAGATATTTGCCGTACCGGTACGTGTTACCTGGTGGACGACCTGGCATACCCTTGATCAAGGGAAGGGATAGATTGAAGGTGCGTGTATTGATCCAGGAGAGTATTTGTCTCGCCATGTACACTCGTGTCTTATTCGAGGTGCAGAATCGTTCTTTCGCCCGTTCATATCGCTCCTCGGAATCGCAGACAAATATGTCGATGTCCGGCTTCTCACTTTCCCAGACTTCTTTATTGGTACGTCCGTTGAACGGCAAGATGGCGCCGTTGTCCTGATAACGATACAAGTGAGCTACTTGTAGTCAATCGCATGGCAAACTACTCACCAAGACCAATTGCTCCAGTTTTTGTCTATAAGCTTTCGTTGATCTCCGGAAGTAGAAAAAGAACTTCGCCGGATAGCGTGTCTCAGGCATGGTGAACAGAGGCGCCTTTGCATTGGAGGCCTGCAGTGACAGTAAGTAGAGATGAAAGCATAGTGAGAGTTCCAGACGGCAAACGCTCGAACCTTGACAGAGCCAGCGCGGCTGCCGGCAGATTCGGAACGTGCGTCCAACTCATAGTCGAGCTCGTCCTGTTCCTGTTCCTCCTCCTCTTCTTCACGCATTGGAGCCTTGCCACGAGCCTTTGCGGATAGCGGACGTTGTTCGGTATTGGGAGTACGAGCCATCGTCGGCGGGACGGTGATGGTGGTCAGGACCAAGGCGTGGGCTGTGGCGACAAGCTCGCGTGGTTGGGGAACCAAACGCGGTCACGAGTTGATGTGATGCGATCAACGACCGCGTTGAAGTTGCGCGCGCCTGCGCGACGCTGACACGCTTCTGTCACCCATCTACTTCCCTCGGACGTACAAGTCAACTAAACATGGCTACCGCAACTATGACTTCAACAACCACACCCTATGGCTCTTACGCACAACCTGCGCCTCAGCCCCGCCCCGCTCCCCATCCTACACCTTGGAGTTCTGTCACTCCAACTACTGGCAGCGCTAAATCTGCTGCAGGCGCTAACGACTGGTCATCATATCGCATGGCTCTTCCTAGTGCATATGCTGGTGCTTTGGCTGGATATGCCTCCGGGTCTTCCAAGTACGAAGCTGTTGATTCATATCATGCATCCGCTCATCGCTTTATAGGCCGTACGATATATACCGACTGACTGCTCACGTCAACGTGGACCTATTGAACTTCCTTCACTCGAACGAGGAGAGCTTTGAAGCTCGTCTCATGGCCGGAGGCTATGTAGGCTACGGCTCCAGTCTAGGTGCCAGGACGCTCCCAACCGCGGCCATGTATCCGCCCATTTCCGCGCCGTCTACCTCCTACCACGCACCGCAGCCATACGTTCCTCTATATCCGCCCCCAGATGAGCGCACGATGCGCAAAAGACGACGTCTGGACGCGTTCCGGCGCACGACGCCGCCGAAACCGGGAAATCTACGTCCTGTGACTGTTGAAGGGCGCGGCCGCATGCTGATGGACTTCGCGGAGGAGAACGAGATCCTCCAGCGATTAGCTCAAAGAAATCCCACAAACGAACCGGCGGATCCACCAAGACAAGCTCCCAGCGAAAGGTTGGCGTGGCCGGACGAGCAGTTTCCTTGGAATCTGCGTAATCATGAGCGCATACAGAGCGACCGTGCCAAACGAGAGCATGAGTTGCGCTGTATTGAACGCTTTCTGGATGAAGCAAGCGATGAGGAGGAAGAGGAAGAGCCGGACGAAGTGGTGTTCCGAGAGGCGGGTTACTACAGTGTCATTGAGCGCTCGCCCGAGCCCTCACTGAAGTTGGATGTCGAGGGCTCCAGCGGCACAGCAACGCCGTCGTGGACGTCAACTGCACGAAGCGCCCAACCTGAACGCCCTATCACCTCACGCAATCTGACAGCGTCAACTCGAAACCCTCGACGCACTGTCCGAACAGATACGATGCAACGTGAGTGAGCAGGAAGAGAATAAATATGCTCGCTTGTTGACGCATTTACAGGGTCTGCTCAACGCGCCCTGCAACGGCCGGGCGTTGATCTCGGCTACTGACCCAGTCTGATGGTTCACTCTGTTAGGGTGCACCCCGCCCCGCACTGTACACGCATCACTTGTAGCAAAAGTAGTGCTTGCTTAGATCGTTTACGAGTTGAGTACCCGAACGAGGAAAAGTAAAAGTACTCTCGCCGATAGTCGACTGATCCGCGCATAAACTGAAGGTTTGGATTGCCGAACTTCAGAACAACGAACGCCCTACGAATAATGATGCGATGGAGCGAAGCCTAAGATAGATCTAGGCCATGCGCACGTTCTAGCGGCTGGAGTATGGCGTAAAGCCTTGGCATCGCGAAGCACGGCCCTTACTGGCCATTAGCGACCGGGGTGGTCCGTGATGGGGGTGCAGTTCAAAGTTGTGCCAGAGCCGCGCTCAGCTGCTTTCCTCAACACCGTCGACTTCGTCCCGGTTTCTACGTCCTCGCTTTCTTTCATACCCCCCTTCCATTCATTTAGCAATGCGTCTCTCTACCCTTTTTGGCTTGTCTGCTGTCTCGCTGGCTCCCGCGGTTCTTGCGAACGCTCGTCAAGGGTCGAACGCCCGCCGTCATCATGAGCTCGCTAACCGCCAGGAGACGGGTCTTTCGAAGCGTGGCATCTTCTCCAACGCAAAGTTCACCTGGTACGATATTGGCGTAGCTCAGTGCGTATCTTATATTTGGCTATCTATACGAAGTTTGACTGAGTAATCACGAAGGGTCGCTTGCGAAGGCTGGCACAGCGAGAATGACTTCGTGGTCGCGATCAACGCCATCGTTCGTTACATTTTCCAACGCCTGATACACCATATTGACCTTTGTGCTCTACAGCAATACGGCACGTACTGGAAGAGTGACTACTGTGGCAAGCAGATCTCCATCACCATGAACGGGAAGACCACGACCGCCACGGTTGTTGATGAGGTATTTAACCTCCCTCTCCGTTTCCGACGTGTAACTCATGACTCTCAGTGCATGGGATGCCCATATGGTGGGCTCGACTTTACCAAGGGGCTATTCGAGTTCTTCGCCGATACTGGCGCCGGCATCATCTACGGTGACTGGCACTTCGTCGACGGAAGCGACAGCGGTAGCGGCAGTGACGACAGCGCCACGACGACCACCAAGAAGGCCGCCGCTACCTCTACCAAGATCCAGGTTAAGGCATCTTCCAAGGCCACCACCAGCTCTGCGGAGTGGACCCCGACCACGACGTGGCAGCCGGCGACGACCTCCAAGTCGGAGGAGCCGGCAACGACCTCCAAGTCAAAAGCGCCTGAGACTACTTCCAAGGCACCCGAGACCACGTCTGAGGCACCCGCTTCGACTTGGGTCCCGCCAGCGACCAGCGCCAAGCCCGAGACGAAGGAGAAGGCGGCAACGACATCCTCTGCCGAGCCGACCGCTTCGGCCTCCGCCAAGAAGTGCGCCGCACGCAAGCGTTCTTTCGCGCCAGCGCACATCCCCGCACGCCGCGCATCGGCGTAGTCCAACACATTGCTACTTCTGATATGGATGGAGCCCCATTACCCCAGTCTACGCGCCGCGCGAGGCGCATTACGCTCGCTACATATACTGAGCTTGCCCACTAATACCCCCTTTACTTACTCACGCAAATGGACATTCGTTGCACGTTACCTTACAATTTTCGAGAGAAAATTCGTATCAGCCAAACGCGTGCTATAACAGTGGATATATACCCCGAACCGTGTCCGTCTACTAGTTTGTCCGTGTTTGCACAGTGAGGGCTGTCCGAGAAAGTGTCCCAGTCATATGTCCGCAAAAAGCAAAGGTCGGATATACACAATAAGCACCATGGTCACCGCGTCGAGGATTATCATTGCTAACAGTGCATTAGTGCTGTTCAGGACAGCCGATGAATGTCAACACTCACGAAGCGCCAGGATCTCTTGTCGTCGTAGTCGTATAGCGACACACGACCCTCGCGGTCCTGATACTCGAAATGCGGCACTAGTTCCCGGGCACGGCCGAAGAAGTCCTCCTTGAGAACGGCGCGCAGCTCTGGCTGTTCGTCGACGTCCGTCGGTATGCGTGAAACGCGAAAGCACTCCAGCCCGTTCTCCGCGCGCCAGCGCAACGCGTCTAGCACCTTCTCCTGGAACGACGCCCGATGGCGCCCCGAAGCGCTCTGTGGGTCCTCGAGTACAATGTCGCGCATCCAGAGCTCACGCATCCCAGGCAACACGACACCGCTGCCCCCTTGTGCGCGGGTCTTGACGTCCTCCGTGGCAAGAGCGCTCACAATTCCCGTTTGCGGGGCATCGTCAACGGTGAAGGACCCGAGCCAAAACGTATGCACTTCGGTGAAGGGGCGTAGGAAGTCTTGCCAGACTGTGCTCGGCTCCACGTACCACGACCTCACACCGAGTACACCGATCGCGGTGAGAGGTATACCACATGTCTTGAGCATTGAGGTTACGCCATCTGCCCAGTTGACGTCTACGAGGGTATCCAGTCGAATCGCCAGACGACGGCGATAACCTGCGTGGAAGGGGCCGGCGTCGCGATCAGCAGAGGTGGGTGATGAGGGATCCTCGGTTTCCGCGAAGATATGGAACTGAAAGTTGAGCGCATCCTCGAGATGTATGAGTAATCCTAGTCGCGCGTTATCGGAGTGGAGGGCAGGGTCGTTGTGCATATGAGGGAAGAGAGAGCCCATGAGCGAGTACAACACGGCAGGCTTGTCCTGCTGCACGTTGGCCAAGGTGACATCCAGCTTCAGCTGTGCGTCCGCGGGTACATCGAGTAGGCGCCAGAGATGTTCGCATTGGTTTCCGACTGCTAGGATGGATAGCTCTTCGAGTTTGGGTAAACGGACACGATGTGATGCAATATTGGGCAGCAAAGGTGTGCAATCGGGAACCCATCCTTCGACGTGAAGACGTTGCAGGGATTGACATCGCGCTAGAAAGCTCAGAAAGACCTCCGGTTCGGGTAGACTTCGAGAGTGCGCCTTGGTCACGTCGCGTATGAGCTCAAGATGAGTGAGCTCGGTTGCATTCCAGGGAAGGAAGACGTTTTTCAGGATACATCGACGCATACGAGGGGCCAAAATGGGAGGGTGTTCCAGTTGGAAGATGGGGCTTGGCTTCTCTCTGCCGTCTCGAACTATCTCGAGTTCGATTTCCTCGACGAAAGGAAGGTCATAGGTGGTGAGAACGTAGGAGAGTGTCGACTGGGAGGAGTAGGGTACTGAAAAGCGAAGGGTAGAAGCCAGTCGCACATATGACAACGCCGTGCGAAAATGTAAAGAAAGCCGGCTCGGTCGAATCTTGGAAGACTCGAGGTCCAGTGTCAATGGTGCACGCTGAGCACGCGCCACTATATCCGGCATGGCAGACGGGAATGTGCAGACACATGAGGCCCAGAGGGAAGGCATGTCAAGCAGCACGGATCGCCAACGACGCGAAACGTGCGACAAGCCGATCCATCCCAAGCTACCCGGCTTTCCGACACTGGCGTCAGGACGGGTAGGCTGGTGCTCTGACGCAACCCGGGCGAAGATATCGAAGAGTAGGTCACTGGGAAGACGCGATATGGGTCGTTGGTCATTGTAACGAGTGCCAATCTCGGAGGCTGCGAGTAGCAGATTCGCCCTCGTAGCGAATAACAGGTCGTTGAATCCTTCGGCCGGCAATGTTTGCTCCTTGCAGTTGAAGATATAATCCGTGTTGGCCATGATGGCCCTACAGAACGAGCTCCAGTCAAAGTTTGCACTGTCGGGAATCAGTTGTGGGTTTGTACATCAAAGCTAGCAATCCCACCTGGACGGCGATGCCATGGTCATTTTCGATTCTGTTCGAGAGTTCAGCTGTGACTGGGGGTTGATGTTAGGTGACCTCTCCAAGTCATCCGGCAATCAAGATGATGTTCAGGATAGTATGAAGTTCCGTAAGTATGTACAACGCGAAAGGAATGTTGGAAAAGAGTGCAGATAGCTGTGGCGCCGAACCTGAGAAGAGACCGTGATGGGTGTTCTGAACAAGCACGAGGCTCCCATGCGATTTGATATAGCACGGCAAGTCCCGCCGGCCTTAGTTGATCCGGGTGCGCATTGCGAGTCTCCTCCTGCCCTCATTCGATAAGACATCTTTCTGAAGACGATGCGAATACGACACCTATACCGTTGACAGATTCAGAGAACGACGAGAGGGAAGTCATCAAGTCGATGGACAGGCGACGGACTGCTCGCACGGCGCGCGGCTATCTCGGTGCAACCAAATAGTCCTAGTTGGCACCAGTAGAGTCGCGCTCAGCCTTCGCGATGTGAATGACGGGGCTCATATGTCACGTACGCGCTGTGTGATAGGCATTAGCACAGTTGTGTATGTCAAGAGAGCGGCCACCTCTCACGACCCAGTGTCATCACAACCCCCCGATTCAAGGTACCCCAGTTCGCTTAAGCTCGTGCGCATTGTAGACTGCTGACAGAACCAAAGGACTGGCAGAAGACCATCGTGTGCATAGCTCTTAGGCAAGCTCGACGACGAGCATTAGGCAGCAGTCATGCGTTGTACTTCGGTCCCCTATGGCAGCAGGCCAAGGTTACTATATGTGCGCCGCCGGGTTTGACGGTCACCACGTAGGCACTCGGACATCACCCGTGTTACCCGCCTCGTCGCCTGGCGTCTACGTTTTGGAGGTATCAACAAATCTCGAGCGCCGAGCGCCCTTGTGGCTGTACCTGTATGGCCATTCAAGTACTGTCTAACGCGTCGTCCAGGGCCGCACCCTCCACCCCTTCACTCTACACCATTCTTGGGTCCTCGGAACTGTCTGCCACTATATGTTGGCCATCAGCGTCATGACAACTTTACGACTATCTATATTGGCTCTTGCCCTGCCTACGTTCGCCTTGGCCGTCCCGCACCATCGATCGCTCGATACCGGCCTGCACATCCCACTCTCCCGACGTGGATCTATCCTCGCCAATCGCGCAGATGTCAATGCCGACTTGAATGTGCTTTTCACGATGATGAACTGTACGCGGGTCAAGTACAACTACACTTCGCCCGAAGACTGCTCGACCTTGCTGCCTTCGAACTCGACATCGAAGAGGATGCTCTTGCCTAGACAAAGCTCGGGAAATGCAAGCCTCATTGACCAGGTGAGGCGTTCGCGTAACACTGTCTATGCTATGACTTACACCGGAGTGCATTTCTAAGGGACAAGACGTTACCTACTATGCTTCTATCAACGTCGGCACGCCGTAAATCAGTTTCACCTGCCCTGTGACATGACGGGACTGAACCACTCCTTCCAGTGCACAGACATTCGATGTGGTCATGGATACGGGCTCGTCGGATCTATGGGTTGAGACGACACAATGCACCAACTGTCCTCGGGGGAATGCTCAGCTGGACACGAGTCGATCCTCGTCCATCAGCACAACCACCAATCAACTGTCGTTTACGTATGGTCAAGGTCGAGCGCAGGGAACGAGCACTACGGACACCGTGAGCCTGGCGGGGTTCACCGTCAGCTCTCAGACGTTTGGTGCGTCCCTCGTCTGCGCATTAGTGCCTCCTCTCTTACATATCGTGCAGGTGCTGTCACGCAGATCTTCGACAATGTTATCCCCATTCAGGGCTCCGGATTGATGGGACTGGCGTTCCAGTCGCTTGCAGCCACAAGAGCCCCTCCATTCTGGCAGGCCCTCATAAACGGCAATCAGCTCTCCGCCTCAGAGTTCTCCATTTATCTTGCACGGAACTTTCAGACTGCTACGTCAGGGAACGACCAGAACTTCGGCGGTTCAATCACCTTTGGCGGTCGCAACACCTCTCTGTTCCAGGGCGATGTTGACTTCCAGAACTTCCCCAACGGGATGTCGCCTGCCTTTTGGTATCAAAACGTTGCTTGTAAGCCATCATCCACAACAGTAGAGGGCCCCTGCATCTAACGTCGTGTCCAGCTCTGACAGTGAACGGTAACTCCGTCAGTATCAGCAACGGTTTGGCCGCCATCGACACCGGAACTACTCTTCTCGCCGGCCCGCCAGATAGCGTCGCAGACTTCTACAACCAGATACCTGGCTCGAGATCTATCGGACAGGGAATGTACTCCTACCGTACGTATGCCCTGGTCGTTAGCTTGGTGAAGCTGGCGCTCATAATCTACTGTCTTTCAGCGTGCAGCACGTCTCTGAACGTTACAATCTCTTTCGGTGGTCGTTCGTGGCCTATAAGCCCAGTTGACCTCAATCGCGGACCGACTGGTGGTGGACAGTGTGTGGGTAGTATTGCATCCATGCAGGGCAGCCCTCCCAGTGCCACTTTCCCGGCGTGGATCATCGGGGATGTGTTCCTGGTGCGTCTTGTTTCGCGCATCTAGAGCTTCGCGACATTCATTCTGACCCCATATGTAGAAGAACGTCTACGCCGTCTTCCGCTCGAACCCGCCTTCAGTGGGTTTCGCAGAACTGACGGACGCGGCTGGTGGATCCTCTGGTACGCCGGGTGCTGGACCGGCCACGAATCCGGGCTCTAGCAGTAACAACCAGAATAGTACGTCGCATAGTCAGCTCATTCGCTTGTGCGCTTTACTGACGCTCGATTCTCAGATGCCGCGTATGCTGTCTCTCCTTCCTCATACGCACTGGCATCGCTGTCTGCGCTCGGCGTGTACCTCTCCCTGTAGGGGCAAAGCCTTCCAGCGTACTCTCACTTCCATGTTCGGACGTATGATTGCATGCCACAGATGATATTACACGAGTACGAGTACATGTTTTACATTCCTTCCTAGTATACATCAATATATCTATCGTTTTGTAGACGCGTAAGCTTTCATGCTGGACACGGTGCGGATAGAGTCCACGTACATCCGCTCAGAGGGTGTCGTTGGTGCCCTTGTTGATGCCGTCGCCAGCTGCGTTCAATCCTCCACCGAGGCCTTGACCGAGCGCACCGACGCCCTACATGGCGAATAAACATGTCAGCCATCTTCATTAGAAGAGTAGTGCAGATCAAAGAGCGTACCTGGCCCAAGCCGTCCGTCACGCCGCCAACGACCTTACCGAGGCCTTGACCGCCGCCCTCGACGATGCCCTGATCGGTGCGCTTCGTTTGGTTCGAGACGCCGGAGCCAACATCGCCGACACCACCTGTAGATGACCATCATCAGCGGTGCGCATAATACGTGGAGATGGTTGAAGACGTACCGCCAACAGCGTTGCCGGTGTCGCTCAAGCCCTTGTCGATGCCACCGGTCGCGCCCTTAACGCCGTCACCAAGACCGTTGAGGATTCCAGACATGATTTATGGATGGGTTGGTCGTGAAGTGGTGGTAGTGGTAGGAGTAGAGGTGAGTTATGGACGCTCGAGCGTTGGAGGCTGGTATATATGTAGGACGATGCGGATGTGACGTCGATGGAGCGGGTTGCCAGGAAACATCAGTGGGCGGCGCTCTGCGGTTCCCTCAAGGAGACGGTTGAGAACGGCCGTTGCATGGATGTGTATGCGTTGACGTAGGGGTAGCATGTTTGAGGCTCACGGGCCCGAACGAGGAGACGCTCAGTTCGACGAGGATTCGTGCAAGATTCGTGCATCTGCGCGCTGATCTTGAAGATCATCTTATCTGGCCGACTTACCTCAACTGAGATGATTGGATCGTCCAGCTGGATGCGTATATTCAAAGCCGATCGAATGATGATCAACGCCGGACGTCGTCGGGGCGGGCAGATGGCCACGCATATCCAGAGCCAATAAGCAGGTAAGGGTCCTGTCTAAGTCAGCCCTACGATGCGCTGACCCTTTGCTAGCATAGCAATTGTCAGACCATTACAGATACGAGCTTCAGATGTTGCGAAGCGTTGCTGTGAACATGCCGGCTTGACAGCGGGCGTACAATAGGATACGCGTCTTTTGGAGAAACGTGGCGGAGCGGGGAACAGCCTTCTCATGGCATCATCAGCGCAACCAAGCTCGAGTAGGCTGCATGTTTCCGAGAGCGCGGTCACTGCGCGTGCGGAAGGAAAAGGGTCGTGGCGCAGGTAGAGGGACATAGGTCGAATCTCGGAGGGGGCGCACAGGAGCATGTGCCGTTCCATGTCGTATATCCTAGCTTCTCGTGAGCACCGCTAAGCTGCAATTGTATCGTATGCATCCAAGCTCTGCCCTATTCGTGTGAGCGTAAGGTGAAGATTGCGGGGGGCGCAGAACAGCGCAGCGGCGAAAGGCCGTAACGGTCCATGTTAACGTTGATGATGCGGTATGCAGGCGGCGAGTTGGGCATCTTTACGGTAACGCAGCGACCACGACGCCTCGGGCAAGACGGATCACACGAGGTCATGGTGAGGGTGAATTACGTGGGGAGGGGGGAACAAGGGCATCATCGACGAGTTGACGACGACGAGGTTCATGGGTGCGACTGGGTCCGGGTCAAACAATGCAATTGCGGGCACATGAGGCGCTGTGGGGGTTGGGGTTCGGAGCTAGCATGCGCGATAGCACACGGATCTGGACGAGTGGAGTACTGCACATGAACAGGCCCGGAGCGCATAGAGCACAGCACCTAGACCTATCGGGAAGAAAATGTACAGACACCGCCGACTGAGAGAGCCGTAGCAGGATGTCTCGTGCTTTGAGGCGCTGCAGATATGTTGGACCGGGAGCATGGACGGCGCGTGCGCTGCAGGGCGCTGGCGGGTTGCTCACTAGCTGCTTCATTGTAGTCGACACTTGGTGTGGCCGGCGGAAACGTGCGCTTCTTCCTTGCTATTGTACTGAAAAGAGGGAATGTAGAAGCGAACAAGCAAGCGCTCAATTCGAGGAACAAGGGCGTGGGATGAGAAGAAGCAGCTCGCGTGCCTGCGGCTTGTATGTGTTGTGTGTTTATTGGTTCCGGGGCTAGGTAGCCTCGGGCTTCTAGAATCTTTTGAGTTTGAAATGGGCATCGGCGTTCGAGGCGGGATATAATAATCCGCGCGGTCCGTCCGAGTTCGCCCCTGCTTCCGTCCTCCACCATCCCCGCACGTCTCGCGCTCGCCCCGCCTCCTCAAGACACCACTCCCAGTTATGATCGCCATACAACTGCCCGCTGCCGCACCGCACGTGCTTTACACGAACATCCCTGCAACAACCCGGCGAGCGGCGAACATCCCGTTCTTGGCCGGCGTGCGCGCCAACCCACCACAAACACAACAGTCTCCACGAGCGACCCGTCGGGCACCCCCTCCTCCAGCCCCAAGAAGGCGCAATGCTATCAGCTACCATCCTTCTCAAAACGAGAACCCGTTTGCGGATCCGGTCAACCGGCCCGCACGAGCATCAGCCAACCCAACTTGGAGCGAGCCCTCCCCGAAGCGTTCTCCGTCGCCGCCTGAACCTCGGACGCCGAGGAAGGCGACGCTGCTCTCTTCGGGCCATATGACGGACGTCGCGGAGCCGTTGCGTTTCAGCCCGCCGCCTAAGCTGGCACCCGCACGCGACCAGACATGTCGTCTCGTTGCAAGCCTGCTACTCAATCGCGCATCGCGCTCGCGCCCCATGTGTGGCCGCACACGCAGATGTGCACCGGGTCGCAGTCGCCTTGCGACATGCGTTATCCTCGAAGACGCTGCATGACGTGCACACGCCTCCCTTACGGATAGACAGACGGACACCGTTCGCACATGTTGTACAACAGCACGGCCGTAACCCGCACCCCTCTTTCACGAACATCCACGTTACACTTCCCCGCCATTATTTCTCCTACATCATCATATTCTCTTTCTCTCTCGCAATGTGCCAAATCCCGCAATCCTAAATAAGACAACCAAGGACTCCTTTTCTCTGGTCCAATGTAACAATTGTAGTTTGATCATCCGGTCCTAGACATCCATTTCATACTCTCTCTCGCATCTTGTGTATAGTCTCGGCTTATCATCCCATTCATTATCGACTCCCGCATAATACAATCGTCTTGCTTTCCGACTTTTACCGTACGGCGCGAACGTCGCCTGGTCGGGACGTGGCCAGCACCGACCGGCGGAATGATGTCATGCATCAAGATATTGCGTTCAGGCCCAGATCCCATCAGGGCTGCGAGCCTCGTGCAGGGTTTGGTTTGAGCCCCTTTCGGGCGCGTAGCCATGCCACTTTATGATGCATTTATCCCCCTGGCAGACCCTGGCAGATGCCAATCCAACCCTCGATCCTTCGACTCCATTTCGCCACAGATCTCTTCGAAGATCGCAGCGAAGTGCAGTGGCGCCGCCGATGTTGTAAGGACTTTGTTCTTGCGCTTGGACGAACCTGCACGGGTTATGTAGCTGTCGAGAGGCTGAGAGCACTGCGGGAGTCGATGAGGGAGAAAGGCTGTGTCCAACGACCATCGTGTTGATGGTCATTGAGCATCCGGCGCCTATCACGTCCTCCGCAATCTCCGCGTCGTTTAGGTTCAAGGACTGGTGCGCGCACAAGGGTACCACTGTAAGTACCTAATAACTGCCATAGGGCCGCACGCGGCAAGACCCGCTACGGTTTGCAGGCTCGAAGCAGTACAAGTGATGCGGGCCCATGTATGAACGCCGTACTTCCGCGGCAGTCAGAATCCGCAAATCTCGCGATGGTGATGTCTTCCAAAATTATCCAACTTATTCTGAATTGACGGGCCGGTCGACGACGGGCGTCTATTCTCTCTTCTGCGTACGCCATCGAGTCTTCGGCTCGAGGACTTGAGGACTTGATGATCTGGGTTGTACGCAGACATCGTACTACAGTACCGAGCGACGTTGCAGCATGGCTCGGCAGGTTCATCCAAGGCTCACGACGACGCGGCATCTTTCCTCGCGCGTCGCGGAAACGTGTGGCTTTCAACTTTGGGCCCCGACCACCACCACCACCACCAATATATCTCTTCCTTCCACCTGAGTACACGAGCAAGGACCCCGACGATGAAGACTCCACGAAGCCCTCGCACCCTTTCAGACAAGTCGGCACGTCGCCGACTTCGCGGATCGTCTTGTGTTGGGGCAGCGAGCTGCTCCTGAGCGCGCGATCGTAGGTCGACTCCCGGGGTCGAAAGCACTTATCGTGCGGCGGATCCCCACAAGCTTTGTACTTCATTTCAAAAACTAGTACCACAACCAACGAGGCATCATAAATTGCGACTAGAGGTCGCAGCCGAGACCTCAACGAGAGCTCGAATGGGTCATCGCATACCATCGAAACAAGCGCAAACGACTCGTTTTTGGTGCCATCGATCGTGTTGGGTCGGTATGCTGAGTTATGGTTGCAAGTTGAGTCCACGGCTCGGCGCCAGCATCTAGCAAGTGCCAGGCTCCCGTAGCAGTGCTTTGCGGCATGGGGAGAGCGTGTTAGTGAATGTCGCCCAATGCCACATTTTACTCGACCGTACAATCAGACATCTGTACTAGCCATCAATCGTTCCCACCCTGTCAAGGTCGTTCGCGGATTGGTAGCCCTCCGACGAACAGTCCCCTAGCGATACTGCTGGGTTGAAGACAGCGCGATGGTACACGTAGACAGCGCGAGCCATTTGTGATAGTTGATCTCAAACAAGACCGAGTTCCAACTTCGCTACATTTTAACCCTAACCTCAGAAGCCGCCGGAGCTCCCGACGGCCTTACGGCATCAGGCACAATTTACAGGGGCTCCAAAACGCCAGCCATTTCAGATGTTGAGTTCGTGCCACCAAGACCCACTACTAGCGTAGCGGGAATCATTATTCTTGATATAGTGGTGACGGAGAACCTAGGGAACGGACGGTCTTGAGTGGGAGGGAGTACAGATCTTGCGCGCGCGCTGGCCAGGCCGCCCTGGTCACCATTGTTTCGGACATCATTGGTGCGAGAACTTGAACTTGACCGGTGTCGCGAGCTTTCATAACAGTCTGTTCACGACTTCGGCCACAGCCACCTTTAGCAGTCATAAGAACTGTGCTCAGGCAGTGCATAAGGTCCATCAGCTCGTCCAGCTCTTAGGTCGAGGTAATCATATATATGTGTGTGGACATTGTGTTCCGCGATGATAGTCGTGCCACGCCGGTGCCACCGACATCCGTTGTTCTTGCCTACGGGCGTTCGCTTCATCCCTGGTTGTCCACACGCACAGTCTCGATGCGTATGAAGGCACGAGCTGCCCTTTCAGGCTTCTCCAAGCTCTGTGCTCCGAGCTCTGCCCTGGGCCGACTCATGTACAGACTCGACACGTATTAAGAGTGCGAGCTGACTGCTGTCTGCGTACTATGACGGCCGGTAGATGACGGCGGATGGGGCACCACACCCACAGCAGACATGGCGAGTAGGGGTTGGGGCAACCTCCCCCACGAGCGCAGTCCGGTGGGCGAAGGGAGCAAGATGTGTTGCGAACATGGACCGCTTGCCTAAGATGAAACGCGGGGATGACCGGGTTGTGGGCGCGATATGCTGCACCACGGTTCGTCCTCGCCCTCATACAGCCACATCAGGTATACAGAGAGGCGTTTCAACGAGGTCTGCATCGGTCACGACAAGATCGAAGGCATCCTGAGGAAAGTCGGGGCAGGTGCAGTCGCCACGAGATTGGTGGGGAATGGGATTGCTGGTCATGTCATCTATTATAGACTAGTACTCTACGATCTGACCTACTGATGCAGATGGCGCTGACCCAAAGCTCTGAATCCTATACGGTATATGGCCGTCCAGGACACCGTGTTATTGAACCGCAGCGGAGACACGCGGCGAGCCTACGAGCCGCATCCACGCCGTTCGTGCCACAGATCCCACTGCTTCCCACTACTTCACGAGCTCGCTGGTTCGATACTACTGTAAAGTACCGGTGCCGCGTACGCGTACACTAGGAGATATACGTTAAGTCGCGGGCCTGCGGGCAACACGTCTACACGCGCGAGGCACCCGCACGATCACGGCACCCGATTCAGGTCCCGATACCGTCGGCCCGCCTTTGTTTGTAGCTGGCCGCTCCCGGATTCCATACCATTGTCAATGCCCACCGTGACTGGGCGTCGACTTCTCTCAGGCTGCCGGCTCAAGCGACGGCAATGAGGTGATCGCCAGTCGATGGATGATTCGCTATACAGGCGGCATTACGAGCTCGTATCCTCGGCCTGGCTAGCAAGACGGTACTACGATTGTGAGCAGTACGTGTGCCGCTGCAGGTGGCGGGGCGAACCGGCTCGAACTCGGGTCGGGCAAATGCGCGCGTGGCGTGGCGCGCTTGCGCGTCCGAGGAGCCCAAATATGGACCAACTGGGTGGCGCACACCCCCCGCGCCAGAAATTGAGCGTTTTGCTCTTCAACGTTCAACCACCATGAGCGACGCGAACAACGATGGCTCCGACCATTCTAATCCCTCCAGCATCATCCACATCAAAGATCTCGCAGAGTTTAACGAAGAGCCGTCGCTCGTTGGAAAGACGCCTATGCGCGAGTTTCGGCCCGGAGGCTGTCTAACCGTCACTGACATTTGCCAGCCTGCTTGGTGTGTGCGCAGTGGATGACCTGTGAATGATATCTGATGAGGTTTCCAGGTGCGAGAAGCAGTATGCTAAGGACCTGGACACACGAAAGCGTGGCGAATTCGTACCAGGCTCTCAACGCAGTCGGAACAGTGGTCCAGGTACTCAAACAGCAGGTCAACAAACACAGAGCTCGGGAACCCAAGTACCGGCCCGTGACTTTTCTCAGTCTCAGCGAGGATCGGTTTTGACGCAAGGAGAAGGCTCGGCGACGTGGAAGTTCAATAGACGCATTCAGGTATGGCCACAGACTACAGATTGATTCCCAGTGATGTAATCAATTTGAGTTAGAACGTACATTCTCGGCGCTTGCCTACGAGACATCGCACGGCGACAGATCCAGCCAGAATCTCTGCGAGCTCTAACGAGGAGAAGCAGGCAAAGCTGTGCGCAATATCGTCACCTTTCGTTCGTCATGCAGCTCAACTCGACTCATGAACAGGGTGGTGTGCATGATTCATTGCTTGGAGCAGCTCCGGAGATTCCGAGAGAGTGTCAGTAAACTTCCAACGCCTCAGCAGCTTACAACTGATACTCAAGCTTGACAATGTCCTATAGGAAGGCATGCACGTCATATCCTTTCTTGGCACCGAGCTCGTAGCGGGAAGAGTAGTAAGTGTTGACCTGTATAACTATATGGACTCACTCATTGACGCTCACCAGCCCAAGCTCTCGCTTCGTAAGGAAGGCATGAACTCCGTGATCACTTTGATCATGAAACAGCCATCTCCCAAACGCACAACAATTCAAAGCACCGAGCGTCGCGTGTATGATATTCAATGTCTTGTAGCCATTCAATATGTCACTCACCATTGCTGTGATTTAGAGCTCTCCTGAAACTCGCATGCTACCACCGCTTGCTTTCCGACAACCTCTCGCAAGGCTTCTCTTTCCAACCGATCTGGAACAAGCTCGGCGTCCAAAGTGGCGAAGCTTTGAGTGATGGTTTCGTTGAACAAGCCTCTGACTTTGTGCACCTCGATTGCGAGCACGTTCCTTGCTTGAGCGATTACGCTACCGAACTTTCTCGCCGACGCGATGAGCTACAGAACGTCATCATCGATCCGACCATGATCATCTCGTACGAGCCCCGTGCAGGCACGACAGGACCAACCGAAAGGTTTAAAGTGGATTACGCGACAGCGTCTGAGAGGCTGGATGTACATCTTCCGAGTGTCCTCGCTTGGTGGAGAGGTGAGCGCCAGTCAAAGGGCGTCGACGTGGAGGATGCCTGGAAATGCCGGCCTAAGTACGTCGTGTCTTTCTGTCGCATCTCCGGACTTTCTGACGTAATCCGGTATCTAGTGCGTGCAACTACGAGAAAGATTGCTTGTGGCGCAGGACCAATGGAGGCACTCGTGCAGAACCTTTGCCAGTGCGCGAAGATTGATGAACCTCCGCCGCGTCGCGAAATCGCTATTCCTGATGATCTTACTCGTATTTTGTTACCATATCTCTCATCCGTGCTATGTGCTCCCATTCCGTATCACTGCTATGCCCTCTACGTTACTGTACGCTATACTCTCGCTCGTCGCTGTCTGTTGTCGCCCTCCATGTTGCTTCTTGCTTGTCCTTGTCATAACCCACGCTCTGCTCCATCTCACATATGCATTCACCACCTGTAGCTTCCAATGCCACACTGTCCCATCAGTCCCCTGTCGAGTACTATTCCCTGACGTATTGAGCTTTAGCGAAATACAAAGGGTCCTGCGCTCCCGGCGACCCCCCCGCAAACTGTCTTGGTGACTTCCCCACGATCCCTAATACGAGCCGATGATTGGCCCTCGGTCACGCCGACTGCCTTTCCGAGCGATTTTTGTCTCCGTCGCTCTCTTGTTGGCCTCGTCTAGGTATAGTGTGTGGGGCAGCTGTGGAGCCTTTGGCAGTTCTGGGGTACTCGTCGTAGTACTGCAGGAGAGCGACTGCTCGCAACTCGAACTGCCCGTGACCGCTCG